ACACCCAAGCTCAAAAAATTAGATGGAGAGCTACATTTATTATTGTAGGTATGTAAAAAATGTGACGAAATTTTAATTTGATAATTGAAGACAACTTTTTAAATATAATTACTGAGAACATAATCTTCTTAAGATTTTGATCTAAATAGTCACTTATGTGATCCTCGTTTTCGGTGCAATGAGTGTTTTTACAAGACAAAAAAGGATCTAAGTTTCGAACCTTATGAAACTAGACCAAGAATTAAACACTATTTATAAAACCTCACCAATAAGTAGACACTATTCATGAAACTGGACCAATAAGTAGACACTATTTATGAAACGAAAACAAGAATTAGGCATTATTTCTAATACTAAACCAATTGGTGGAAACTATTTATGAAACTGAACTATACACTATTTATGAAACTAGAGTAAGAACTAGACAATATTTTTGAAACATGACTAAGAATTAGGCACCATTTATGAAAGTGAATTAATAACTAGACACTATTTATGAAACTGAACCAAGAAAGATACACTATTTATAAAACTGTACCGATTACTATACATTATTTATGAAACTGGATCCAATAACTAGGCACTATTTATGAAACATGACCAAGAACTAGAAACTATTTATGAAAGTGGACAAAAAACTAGGCTCTATTTATGGAATTGGACGAACAAATACTATAGTACTGTTCAGTTTCATAAATAGTGTTTAGTTTTATAAATAGTGTGAAGATCCCGAGCATCATTTTTTTTTAATTTTAAATTGTGTCATTTCATTAAAATTTAAGTTTTTCTTTTTTGTCATTTTTATTAAAATTTAAGGATTTTTCATTAAAATTTAATTCTTTTTCATTAAATAAAGTTATAGCATGATTTTTTTTTTGTTAAAATAAACTTTGTCCAAACCCTTTTCATGAAAGTTACCATAATAAATAAGATAGTGAAACACTATCACACTTGAGAGTGGTGAGCACGAACACTTGTGATTTGTAGGCTAGGTATTTGGCAATTGCATACGAGCTCAACGTCCAAATTATCAAAGTGCGGATCCTTAGGGCTACGATTTGTCACGCCGTGATCAGTGCCTTCAACTTCAATCTTGCTACTACAGTCTACAACTAGCTGATTATTATTAGGCTTTTTAGTTAAAATGGTATTGAGATTAGCATATCTCTTCAATGTGATTCTTGATGACAATGAAATCAATGAAAGTGGGTTCTTTGAGTTTGTCCACGTGATCGTTCACATGACAATTTAACGACGATATTTAACAGATTTTTCATGAAAATGCCAAAATGATAAACGGTGGATAAACCTAGGGACCACTTCTATCTATTTCATTGTCAGAAACTAAAGTGAAGAATTATGACAATCTCAGATGCCGTTTTAGCCACACAAAAAAAACATTATTATTAAGAGAGTAATTATTTGAAAGTGAAAAATTATGAAATAATATATATCGATAAGTAAATATGGCTGCGATGAATGTGCAAATCTAAAACATGTCTACACTCTACACACAAATTTGTATATAGTAGTAATTTTTGCTTTGCTATATGTAAGGATGTAAGATCCAAAGAGAAACCTCGTATTAATGGTTTTGATGGTTTGAAAAAGGGGCTTTTAAATTTTAGGGTTTAAATAAGATTATTTTTAAATTTTAACCTGAATGATTTTTTTTTTTAATTTTTAAATCTAATCTAAGTCTCTATTCTTAAAACTTTCCATATTTAAGTAATTATAGCACATTTATTCTTTGTAAACTTACCATATCGAATTTATTCAAAATTCAAATTTTTATATTTAAAAAATGTCACAGCCCATCCCGGAAGATTATTCTCGATGATGTGAAATGACAATTTTACCCTTGGACGTTAAAGTATGTTGTGTGATTTAAGTTGAATTTTAGAACCATTCATTAATTTCCTAAGTCTTTGGACCCAATTGGAAGTAAGGAAATTGTTTGTTTTGATTGGTGACCCAAAAATCTGGACCACACATCATTTCTCCTCTCACTCTCCCGTACTTTCTCTTCTCTCTCTTGGACTCACTCTCTCTTCCCTCTCCTCCATACGGACAACCTTGAACCAAGCCAAATCTTCACAGATCGAGGAAGAAAATGGTACCATTGTGTTCATGAGGACCATACGAGTTAAAAGGTACCAATTTCAGGTAAGAACTCGTTCGATATCACGTTAAAAACTCAAGCTCCGAGTTGATCACTATTCATGCACTTTTGAATGGTTATGCTTTAGGACAATCCAAGCTCACAGCGAGCTCTAGGAGGTTCTTACAAAGCTCGGAGTGCTTCGTTGGCTCCATTTTGACGTCCGGATCACGAGGTTCGAAGGTGGCCGGTTTTGGTAGAATTTTCCCGACGAGTTTTCGAGGGATTTGAAGCTCCCAAGAGGTATAACATTCTTCCTCTCATGATTTATGGCATTCTGGTGAAAATTGTGTGAAAAATGGTGCAAAAACGAGCGAGAAAAGGCAGTTGCAGGTCTGCCCAGAATCCGGCGCCAGCGACACTGTTCCGGCGTCTAGAGGTTGAAGATGATGCGTGTGGGGCCATGCCCTCCCGGCGCATAAGGGCACATGAGCCACAGAAAATTTATTTTTAAAATATCATGATGTTCGTGAGATTGTGTAGGTCGTGTTGGTATATTCAAATACCAAAATTGAGCTTTGTATGAAAAGTTATTAGCTAGTTTTGCCTATGTGCTTTAAAATAATGTTTTTATAGTTAATTCGCATATAGGTGAGGCTTATCCCGAGGACGAGCGTATCCACGGGCGACTAGGGGGCTATGACCCTTCGACATACCAATGAGTGGGCTTTTGTTTTCAGTATATATTTATATACTTGATATATTTCCCAGAAATGCATTTTTTTTTAGGAAAGTATGCTTTGAAATAATATGCCAAATGCTTTTATATTCTGAATATGCATTTCATGGTTGCATATATATGTAAATGTGGTGTTGTAGAGGAACAGGTAAGTTCAGGTAAGTTATGTTTGGTTATGTGAATCATCGATGATGTGATATGTGATTGAATAATGTTGAGCTTATAAAACTGCACCTAGGGTGATTATGATTTAGCTAGAGATATGAAGTACATGCCTGTTTATTTACGTCACCTCCCACACTATATGCTCATAGTGGATCCAACTTAAGTGCACAGTCTTGTCGTACATACCTTATTTATGGTTCCGACTCGTAGGTGACTAGCGATTTATCGCCCGGCTATTATGAGAGAGTAAAATTGAGCATAATTATATTACACCCATTATTGTCGTATAGACCTTTTTGTTTGGTTCTGACTCTTGTGCAGTATGTTGCCGTATAGGTCATTATAGTGACTCCGGTTAGAGTAACTTTAAGCTATGAAATCAGCCGTACAGACTACCTTAGGGGTTCCGGCTAACATATCATATTTCTATGAATTTATTCTTACCTGAATTGCTTACTCTGTTTTATCTTGGCATGACATACATTTGAATATGATTATGTGTAGCATGAATTGAATTGATATGATTATCTATATATATATATATATTATATATGCTTATATCTTGATTTTGGGAAAAATTATACATGTTTTACAACGAGGGGTTAGTATATTGATAAATGAAATGGTTTTGTAAAGCATTTGTTTTTGCCCACTCATGTTTTCTGTTTTGCGCCCCTCCAGGTTTTAAGTAAGCTTGCTGTTGGTGGCTTGAGGATGTCGGCAGTTCTGACTTATCTAAATAATAGTAGGACATTCCTGGTACTGTATAACTAGTACTTGTCCTACTGGACTGCACCTAGACTTTTATGCTCTGATTAGGAGTGTTTACTTTTATAACTAACTCCTATTACTTCCTGTTTAGTAGTGCACTCTAGTAATTTGTTTTTTGATTATTTGTATATTTACGATCATTATCGCTTCCGCATTGTGCACATGGCTACGTCACTTTCACGTGATGGCCAGCATGCCTTGATCTCGGTCGAGGTGTGTCAAAAAAAGTTAACAACAACACAATTTATATTTGAAAAAAAAACATAGGTACAAAAGTATCAATACGTAAGTTTCCGTCCAAATGTATTAGTATGAATGCATTGGTACATAAGTTTCGAAACGAATGTATCGTACATATATAAGTTTCAATATGAATGTAGTGGTATGTAACTATAATATCTGAACATACATAGGTGCTTAAAATGCATATACATATATATAGAGAAATTCAAGTACAATGAAAAGTAAACGAGAATATATGACTTTTATTAGTATGGGAACTTAATTATAATTATCAATAATAAATAACATTTTTATTGTTTATAGGAATTAATATATAACCTACACACAAAAAACTCAATACTTATTACAACCTAATTAATATTCGAAAAATACAATTAAATGGCAAGGGCTATAGTTAATTTTTTTTTTATCTTAGACAAGATTTTATTCCAAAAGTAATATTTTTCAAGGATTAGAATAGAATTTTCCGTTTCGAAATAAAAGGCTATGCATTACAAATATCATTATCTTGTTCACGTGTCTTAGATTTCGTTTGGTATTGTTTTTTTTTACCTTTTCTATTAACTGCCACTTGAATTTAAAGTTAAGCAATAAAAAGTGTTTGATAAATATAAATGATCCTGCTTATTTTAAAGGGGGTTTTAACGAAAAGCCCGCGGTACTGTTCACTTTAACGAAAAACCATATTTTTACACTAAAAAGTCAATCCTAGTACTATTCACTTTACCTTTTATTTTGTCCTTATTATTAAAACTCAAAGTTTTCAAGCCCTTTCATTAGTTTTCCTTATTTTAAAAGTAATGGCCTCTAGACAGCAACTTATAAAATTAAGCAACTAGCAGGTCGCTTTCATTAAAAGCAAAGTTATGCTTTTAATATTTTTAATTCCTTCATACCTTTATTAGTTTTTATGTTTGTCCTTCTATACATACTTTTTTCCTTTGGGAACAAAATGACCACCACCACCTACCATTAAAACCACTACTTTATACCACCGCCGCCATTATCACCATTAAAATCATCACCATCAGCACCACCACAACCACACTCACCATAACCACTACCACAACCACACTTCACTCACCACAACCACACTCACCACAACCACTACCACAACCACTACCACCGCCCCTACCATCATCGTTCCCTCTGCACTCCAACCACCACAACCCATTATTACCACAATACCCCACCACTACCGCTTCCATTACCACTACTGCTCCCACCATCAATGTTGACACCATTTGCAACTAGAACCATTAGTCTTACACCACCATTATTATCATCACAACTGCCACCGCCAACAATGCCATTACCATCACCGTTGCCGCTGTCACCATTGTTACCTCTACACGCCAGCCACCACACCCTATTGTTGGCACTGTAACATACCCCACCATTGATGCTGCCATCACCACCATTGCCCATGTCGCTGCTATCTGAAGGAAAATTTTGTGAAAACATGTTCATTTAAACAACATCATATAGCATGCAATTAACAATTAAAGGTGGAATCATGCTTGTATGCACTTAAAACAAAACATTAACCATGAAATTCAAAGCCTAGTAGATCGGTGAACCAAGACTCAACTCAAAACAAAGTGAGTTGATATTTATACCTTTGTAGATTCCTCTTTGCATAAGCAAAGGCTAATCACCCAAAGAGAGGGCCTTCATTCCTTGCTTCTTAGATCTATTGATTTGGATGGAAGAATATGTTTCTCCAAGTTCTCAAAATAGAGAACCTCTAAGTCTCCACACCAAGGTTAGATTTAAGTAGAAATGAGTGACCTAGAGGAAGTTGGATTGCTAGCTAATCTCCTCTAGGGTGGCCGGCCTCTTTAGAGAGAAATGAGAGCTTTGTGTTCTCATCCTTTCCCAAAAAGAAACCCTAAATGAATTTTGGCTATAAAGTCATATTTATACCTCAATTCATTGGAGTGGCAAACTTGTAAATAAGTCCAAAACCCACTCCATCTCTAAATGGCCGGCCATAGGGATTCATTGGACTATTTGGGCCTTTGTGAATCATTATTCATTAAGTTGTCATACAACTTAAGTCAATGGACTTGACGTTCGAAGCCCATTGGGCCTTAAGGTCCAAAACTATCCCGAGGTCTTTAACGAACTTATTCATTTGATTAATTAACATATTAATTAATCCTTGCCATAAATAATTAAACCATTTAATTATTCTTACTCATCTCCGTTGTTTCTTCAATCTCTACCTTACACGGTGTACGATCCATTAGGTTCCTTTTTAGCGAGGCAGTGGGCGATTAAAACTCTTTCAAATCGATTGTGAATTGAAACTTACTTTCAATTCTCCCTTTAGTGTTTATACACGTTTAGGGCTTCCACAAACCAAGAGTGACACCTAGCAGCATATCATGGTTACCCAAGCTAATCAGAAGAGGTGGAGAACCTATTCAGTTTAGGATTACAAATGCAATACGGTATTTATCTAATACAATACTCTTGACCACATTGTTTGGTTTGATAGTTTATTCATGTCTACTATCCAATGTGATTCGTGTGCTTATATGATTACCTTGAATGTGATTTGGAACGACTTCCTAAATCTCATTCATACTTTGGCCAAAGATTCTTAATCATATCATAGAGTATTCTCCCTCAAACGGTTTGAAGGTTAGAGATCCCTTGTTGCGCATTCACTTGCCTCCATGGCTAAGTGGCTTAACCCCAACGATGCCGTGGACACCCTCGAATGGAGTGACTTTGACACAATCAAAGATCAAGGACTTAACCACAAGACAACTATGATGCCTTAGGTCAAATGACTACTTTGCATTATCCCAATCATGAGTTCTCATGTGACATGAGTATGAGAACTCCTCGTTGATCGTGTTCAGTGGACTCATTCACTATTGAGCACCTACATGCTTGTCTTGATGTCACACACACCAATGACTCGAGACTAGTCACTCTCCCTGAGAGAAGACTCAGCACGTACTTATCTTAACGGACTGTCAATGCCCAATTAGCAATCCTATGATCAGGAACGTTTAGGATATGTATACGAAAGAGAATGGTCTCATTAATCTAACTTGTTTAAATCATATTCTCCTAATTACATATTCCTTGGACTTATCGTTTAAGCATATAACATTTATATGAGACGGCTTAAACAATAATATTTGCCCTTGATATTAAACTAGATTAGTTAACATGTGAAATGTCTGTAAAGTATCATCATATGATTGGTTTTAGGGCACATTTCCAACAATCTCCCACTTGCACTAGAGCCAATCAGCTTGGTTATCAGTGATGATACCTCTTCTGTAGTCATTTCAAAAATGGCTGAGTAGTAGGCCTAGGCAATGGATATCTATATGTTATCCATAGAAGCAACCTTGAGAATAATGACGTCACCATTATACAGGATTCTCAATCATGTGGTTCAGTCTCTCATATGAGTTCAGATCTTGATGAGACCTTGATTCCCTGGCTTGAGCTATCGCCCCATTAGTGTCGTAGTGTCAGTACACTAGATACACTTTCTGGTTGGAACCGAATAGAGAGTTCATAAATGAACTTTCCCATCCAAACAACATTGTTGTAAGCTTCTATATGGCAATATATTTTGCATTCATAATGGAACACACTAAAGTCATTACTTTTAATGTTTCCATCCAAATATCTCTTTAGTCATAATAAAGAGATATCTGATTATTTCTTCATTCATAATGAAGAAACATCCAATGATGGATTAGATTCATAATCTAATACATTTACGCTTCCATTACGTTACTCTAATTCTTCCTCATTCTTTGAGGAATCTATCCTTTAGTATTTCTTAAATACTCAAGGACTCACTTGACAGTTGCCATGGTTCTAATCCTGGGCTTGCACTGATATCGTCTTGTACCTTTCTAGGTACAACTCATATCAATGTTTTCATACAATATGAAATACATAAATCACCTTTCTGCGTATGCATAAAGGATTCTATTTACGGATTATTTCTTTGGGAGTCAAAAGGGTACGTTCCCTTTGAGAAGGGCAACTTGCTAGTCTCACTAGAGTCGTCCTTCTAATTGAAGTTTATCATCATATGAGAAACTTCCTAGCATTTATTGTCTATTATTAGGGATTGATATAATCAAATTATATCTTGAAATATATCATTATAGATTTCTATCCCATGTATTTAGACTATATCTCCCATATACATTCTATCGTTATAGAATGTTTAAAGTCATAACTTTAACGAAGAAGTATTCTTTTCATTTCCAAAATTAATATATCATATATATATAATCAAATTTAGGAATTTGATTAACTCCCACTAATCTTTTGTAAACCTAGTAAACAAAAGATTCATTCACATCTTTATGAGAAATCAAACGATTTGATCTTTCTCTCATAAGACGCTTATAGCTCCCACTAGCTTGCTAAGATCCATGATGGATGGATCTCTACAACTTACATGTCTTGTGATTCATAGTTTTAGACATATATATTATCAAGACTATCTTAATAATGGTTTCGAAAACCCATATAATGTCCAAACATTGAATCACCATTTAGTTGTAGTTAGCAATCTTCGAATTAATTGAAAACAATACTACATCAAAGATGGTTTCTTCAAAGTCAACCATTCTCTTTGATTGTAGTCACCTTAAGCTACCAATTAGCTATTTAAGGTTTCATTATTTCGGGTCAAATGGTACTTTACCATTTCCTTGAGTATATATCGTATATACACTCAATGTAGTCATAAGGATTTTCATTCTTATTTCTTTCGAATTAAGAGGTGTAACTCTATGACATAGTCATAAAGTTCAAACCATTCAACTGAGACGGTTTATAAATCCTTCTCGACTACCTTGGAGCTTGTGGTATAGGAACTAGGTTGTTTATATTTGTTGATCACTATCTTATTTCTTAAAGAACCATTCTTTGAGTTCTATCCCTCGTTCATTTGCTCTATTTTGGGCAAATCCTAGTGTAGGATTACAATGAACTACCCAACAAACAACATTTGTTAGTTGGTTTATAGAAGTGATATCCAAATGTTAATTTAAGGATATCCACAAGATAATTCTCAAACAAATATTGCTTATTAGCACACAACCCCAAATCTTAACATGATTAAGATTTGTCTTTCTTTCCAACTACATCTTATGGAGTCATGAAAATTTTGGAAGATCTTCTAATTGACAATCATATTGTCTTAGAAGCATATATCCTATATATGGGTAATTGATAACATTCAACGAACTAAATCTTATTCAAGTTCGTTCTTCTCTTAATGGAGAAATCCATTATCTTTTGATGCTTCTTTCCTTGATATTTTTCAAGGAAACTGTTCTAAAGTGTTATCTTTCCTTAGATCAAATCTAAGGAGGCAAATACTTTAGACGTCTTACTCATCAACTTACATTTCTTGAATTCTTTGAAACATTTTGCAAAGTATTCGGACTTGTGTTTATTCAAAATAAACTATAGTCCAACCGAGAGTGATCTTCGGTGAATGTCATACAACATGAGTAGTATTATGTTGTGGACAAGTGCCACTAACATCTAAGTGAATTAACCTCAACAACTTTGTGATTCTTTCTTCTTTCCAAAAGAATAAAGATTCGAACATTTCGCCTCCATACAATTTTAATAAGAAGGTATTGGATCCGGATCTAACGATCCAAAGCATCCATCTTTGACCAACTCGTAATTTATGTTTTAGAGGTATCACAACTTTAGTTGGGATTAGTCACTACCTTGCAACCTTTTGGGTTTTAAGCATCGTTATATTCTAAACAGTTAACACTACCATATCATCTCTACTATAGAGACAATCAATTAGATTACTATAATCCAATCATTGATTTAATAAAGAACAATGTTTTGTCAAACAAAACATTCATCCATCTCTACTAGTGACGGAATTAGGTTCCTTAAAATTGGAATGTAAAGACAATCTTTGGTTTTTCCAATTTCTTTGGTAGTTCATATGAGGAAGTAAGTACCATCTGCTTTTGCAGAGATCTATATTTTATTCACGTTCCGAATGTGAAGCACCTTTTTCTTCTCTCATATATCTTCTACTTCTTATTAGTCACACTTTTACAACGATTGTAAAACATAGTTACTAATACAGAATCAAGCATTCAAGTAGAAGAACCAACTATTTTGAACTATTCAAGAACAATTTACAACACCTTCGAAAGGTGTGTTCTTGACACTTGCAAGACATTTCTTGCAAATACCCCTTCCAATGTCCATCCTTTCATAAAGAAAGTTTGTTCCCTTGGAGTTAATTTTATCTTCTTTATTTGACTTTTCCTTTGACTACAATAGTCATGGTCCCTAAACTCCCACTATCTCTCTTGAAACTTATTTCAATTGTGTTATACACATCAAACGATTTGGAGAGCGTGTGGTTATTGTTCACTATATAGTTTACA